TTCCTAGCAGACAATGAAAATGATCAGCAGAACAGGCTAAAAAGACATATCGCCTAGTAGGATCTGTTATTGCTTGTCAAAATGCACCTTACTCGAGATCAGAGTGCTGGCTCCTCTAGCATAAGAATGGTGTAAAATTCTTCTTGTTAAAGGTATCCAGTAACCACTGCTCGATATAAGCAGTGGGATTGCAGCCATCAATTTTTTTGGGCAGGTCTAAAATCCTGACGTTATTTCTCTGTAGGTGGTTCCTCATGTCAGCAATTCGATTAGCATGACATTGAACTATATTAGTAGCATCATCCTCCATGGAACTCACTCTGCCTTCCAGTGCCTTCCTTTTTGAACATCATGGCAGATAAGCACTATATCTTCTCTAAGGAGCTGGAACTGAGTATTAAGAGCAGTCAGTGAAGTATTGCAGAGAGTGGGTTCAGGAGGGAAATCCCACAGTGCAGCAGGTGTCTCTTCAGCCCAATCACTCCTCCTTGCATCAAGCTGTGCATGTCTCCCGTTGCCCCCGGTGTTGGTATGTAGGGCCTAGAAGAAGGACTCGCCAGTAGTCAGCACGGATGGGTCACCTGGCAGCAGCTCCATGGCTGAGGCGGAAGCCTCATGTTTCTGTTGCTCCTCAGTGGGCACACGGGCAAACAGCTCCAGCTGCGCTCCGGCTTCCTTGCTTCTATCCTGTGGAGCACGAGGAGAGAGCAGGTCGGCGCCATCTTGGCCATTCCAGACCAGCGCTCGGCCTCTTCTCTGTTCCTTCTATTCATAGCGCTAGTCATGGGACGCCGCAACAGGGTGGCCTGGAAGACGGAGAAGCCCAAAGCACCATGTAAAGTAGCTTGAAGGAAGCTATAGAGCTGATAGTAAGCAGAGTTTTGGCAGCAGCTAAAGGCTCAGTGTATTCTCACATCAGCCGCTTGGCCACACCCCATGGTATCACATTCTGATCAAGCACATATGATGCACAATTCATAGTTAACCTGAAGACTGTAGACTGCCCAGGCCCTGAATCAGCAAATTATTTTACAGGATTTATATAGCGCCAACAGTTTGCTCAGCGCTGTACAATATAATGGGAGACAATACCGCAACAATACAGTGCAATACAAGAGGGTTAGGAGGGCCCTGCTCCTTGGAGCTTACATTCTAAGAGGGAGGGGCTAGTGGTACAAAAAGTAACTGTGGGGGATGGACTGGTAGGAGTAGAAGATTCCATTATTAGCTGAGGGCAGGATAGGCTTTCCTGAAGAGATAGGTTTTCAGAGATCGCCTAAAAGTGAGCAGAGTAGGCGATCGTCTGATAAATTGGGGTAGTGAGTCCCAGAGGATTGGGGAAGCTCTGGAGAAGTCCTGGAGACGAGCATGGGAGGAGGAGACAAGGGAGCTAGAGAGTAGGAGGTTGTGCGAGGAGCGGAGAGTATGGTTTGGGTGATATTTGGAGACAAGACTGGTGATGTAATTTGGGGCAGAGTTATAAATGGCTTTATATGTTATTGTTAATGTTTTGAACTTTATTTGTCGGGCAATGCAAATCAGTGCCAAAATGTAAGATTCCTCAAGAGTTTTAGCATTGCCCTCTTCACTGCCAAATTATTTTCTTCCATGCATTTTCAACATAACATTTTAGGCATTAAAGTGTTACTAAATCTAGGACCCTGCATTCACTATATCTGCTCTCCCACAGTATACAAAAAATGGAAGTGCAATTATTTTTGTAAATATAAACTGCTAATTACCTTTTCTCATCAGCAGTTAGAGCAGTCTTCTGAATTCTATCAGTGTCAAGCCGAGCACTGGTTAAAGCTTGTAAGAGGAGTTTTCTTTCTGCTGTAGGAGGATGCAAAACCCCTAACCCTCTGTCTGGACAGTGCTGATTGGCCCTGTGCTGATCACATGCACTCTTCCAAGAAAAGAAAAAACCTCTCTAGCAATACACACTAAACTGAGGATGTGCATGTGGCTATGGTCTGTCAGGAGGTTATCAGGAGATAAGACATGGACATTTGAACAAGAGAAGAGGCAGAGAAAACAGGATCAAAATGCCTTTTTATATACTGCAGAGGATTAACTCAAAGCTGCAGGTGCCAGTAAAATGGCAAAAAACTATGGTACCCCAAACAGTCTATCGATGACAATTCAAAAGCCTTTACAGGTAATTAATTCAGAGTTAAAGTGATTGCAAAGGTTCTTTTTAATAATTTTTTTGGTTTTTGCACAGAGCAGCCTCAGTCCTCCTCTTCTGGAGTCCCCCTTGGCTTCTCTTCCAGAACCACTTTGCAATGGGGGCACTTGTGATGGCTTAATCCCGAGCAGCACTGTGTGCATCTATTAATGCACACAATACTGCACAGCGTGGCCCCACCCCACAAATCCCTTTTCACTGCATTTGATTGAAAGCATCAGGAGCCAAGGGCTCGGATCCCGAAAGTGCTCAGAGCTGAGCACTTCCATGTTAATTTTTCCACAGAGTGAATTAGTAAACAAACGTTCATTAATCTAACCCTTTGCTGCTCCATCCTCTGCTCCGGGAACACAAGGAGGACAAATATTCCTAAAACACAAACACATTAAGATAATTTTATCTCTCCCAGCTGCTATAGTTTTTTTTTTTTTTTTACAGGCTGGCACTGTGACTGATTTAATACATCAATAGAAACAAAATGGTTAGCTCTTGGGCTAAATTTGCTGGGCTGCCCAGTCCTGGACAAGTTTGTATTAGTTTGACATGTATGCCACTTGAGGATTATTTTCTTTACAGTGGAAAACTTACTTTCAAATAATTTGACTATCTTTTTAAATTCCTTGTCATACTCTTGGCCAACCATAAACTTCTTTCTATAGATCTTAGATCGCTCTTTTTTGATCTAGGCATGACGACTAGATTGTAAGCTTCAAGGAGCAGGGCCCTCCTATCCCTCTTGTATTGAACTGTATGGTCTCCCTTTATATTGTACAGCGCTGAGCAAAATGCTGGCGCTATATAAATCCTGTACAATAATAATAATGACACCACACTTGTAAATAGCAAAGAGAACACCAGACCCTAGATATCCAAGGTTTTAATAAGACAGTTTCCAACTATACACTATCTTTTTAAGGTTCTTATTATTGTCACCTATTCTGCAACAGTAGATGCCAATTTCAAGGATTTTGAAGTAGTGGCAAATGTAGGGTATATGTTTACCATTAGATAAATCCAAGAATTAATACAGCATTGACAATTTTATGTGTCAGTGTCTATCACCTTTTCTGTAGACATTATTTAAAAGATGATCTAATGTTTGTTCAAATATGTAACAAAAAAAAGGGAAAGAAAGCGAAAAGAAGAGTTTTCCTGGGGTGTACGTAGTTTCTTTTTTTTACATGACTATAATATACGTAGTGCTACTCCTGTGGGAGCCGCACGAATGCTGTCCAGATGTTCCTGAAAAGCTTTGCCCCACAGCCAGGCACATAGGCTCATTCACACGTTTGTTCAATGACCAATTGAGGGGTGTTGTTTTATTTTTGGAAAACTTTGATAGGGATGTGGAAATAAGTGGGATACTCCAAAAACAGAAACTATGTACAGTTGAGGACATAAGGTATTCTTTTGAATAAGCTAAGACGAAGTCCGTGCTTAAAACAAACAATAGACTTCAGCTTTAAGGCAGCAGTTGTAGTAGTAGTAAAATTAGTAGTCGCAAACTAGAGCAGTGTTTCTCAACCATTTTTCAGTCAAGGCACCCTTTAAGATCCCACACAATCTCGAGGCACCCCATTCTAAAATGTAAAGAACGAAACAAATCATTTTTTGTAACGCAGCAACATCCACACAAGTAGGACACCCAACATTAGAAGTGGTTTATTCTTTCAAAGCTATTGCACCTTTGCACATATATTCGACCGTTCCTGTTCTCCCTCACTCAGCTAAAGTGACCACAGTGCTGATGGAGAGGGGCTAGAAAGTGGTAAATTGGTATTCAGGTGACTGACGTCTTCCTTATCAACAAATTACATCATCGGTTGTTAGGATGCCAACGGCTGGCCCCCCACAGTGCCCAAGGTTGTAATGCTGCACAATACAAACTTGTGGTTTGTGTAACAAAAAGGCAGGCTTAATCCACTTGCTGTCTCATTTACAGTTTTTGGGGAATTTGGAGCAATTTTTCCAAGGCACCCCTGAAGAACCCAGAAGGCACCTTTGTTGAAAAAGGCTGAACTAGAACAGAGTCCTTTTAGATAGGAAATTAAGTGGACAAAGCTCTTTGGAACAACAGCTGATGTCCTCTTTAGCTAGACCTGCACCAGATGTGGTTAAGTAGCACACAGTCTCCAAGATCCTTTAGGGGTGTCTGTACTCACAAGGCCCAAGAAGAGACGGTTGCCTTCCTCCATCATATCAGACCAGATTTTCAATCGATAGCCCCTCAGTCAGCCTTAGCAGAACACAGATCTCAGCATTCAGGACATCAGGTCACCCACCTGAGGCTTAAGGCAGTAGAAAAAGCAGTATTGCCTGGGAGGGCAGCATGCCCTCTACAGGCTGAAACAATTCTATACAGGAAAGACACAGAGCCCAGTTTGCTCACTGAATATATACAGTTACCCAGCATGCCCTCAGAACCTCTCTCTGGGATAGGCCAGGGCTGTATCAATATTCATGTTGCCATCAGCATAGCTCCACACATTTTACAGAAGCTACTCAAGCCTTCTGGATTCAGAGGGAGTTATCAGCTTGGCTGCACCTGATCAAACTGAACAAACCTAACTAGCAGAACACAGCAGCACTGATTATGCTTGCAGTGTGCAAGTTATGCTTTTACCTCGCAACAATTACAACTACACTGTGACAACTAACTTTACCTATCAAAATACAAACTAAATCTATCTAAACCTAGCACCTATCTGGGATAGTACTACATCTATATAGATGATAAACAGGTTTGTGGTAAGGTATATAGTTTATGAAGCCATCACCAAATTCCTAAAGGCATTCCTAAACAAAACATTACCTGGCACAAGCCCTGCAAGAGGCTGATTATCTTCATCTCCATCCCTGTAAGCCTGCCACCAATTTGGGTCATCCTGGCTGATGATATGAAGAATATCTCCTTTTTCTGGAAGGATAGACCCAGTTCCCGGCATGGCACATATGGGTCATCAGTAGGATCATAGTCAAAATGTGCTTTCACGTGTATCTTTGCAAAAAAATAAATAAATAAAGTTTAATTATATATGCATGATAAGTAAGAAAGTGTAAGAAAATGCAGAATGTGTAAGTATAATTAACTGGTAAATCAAAACTGCAATCTAGTTTATACATAAAGGGCAAATCATGACATTTACAGATGCAAGTACACATAAGCTCTACAAAGGAAGCAAGCACTCATGCACAATTATACCAAGCTGAAAAGTCAAATGCAGATGCTCAGCAAACACTTGATTTGTAGTGCATTAAAGAGAACAGACTGCAGACCTGATCTCTGAGGTTGTAGTTCTAATCCATTTCTATTATTCTATAGCATATAATTTTATCAGTTTACAAATTTATCAGAGCTGAAAAAATTTTTTTTATAGTGGTAAGAGATAATTTCCTAATATTGGACTTTTTGTCTAGTAGTTGCCAGTAATACGAAAGGTTCCAGTTATGTCAACCATAGATTGCCCAATTATAATTGTAGAAGATGTAACCTGAATACAGTAATAGGGAGATGATAAAGATGTGATTGAACCAATATACAATTTTCTTCCCTCTTCTATAATCCATTCTCCAGCTCTGTACTATAGCCAAACTTCAAGAAAGATAAAAGAGTAGCACTTGTACAACTGCTACTAGGAAAGGCAAACCTCACCAACTGACTGCTTTCCTGAGAGATCTTCCTGTCTACGTGCAACCAAAGTCATGCTTAGCATAAAAACTGAAAATGTAACAAGAAGCAATACTTAGGCTGGAAGAATAAAAATACAATGGAAAAATAAAACAGAAATGAAAGGGAGCCTGGCCTAGCTATAGAGTCGAAAGGAATCCGGCAGCTTTACCAGCCGGAGGAGTCTATGCCCAAAAGGCAGAAAGACTCACGTCGCATCAACCGTCTCAGTTTTCTCTCTTTTTAGAGTACAAGGGCAGATGATAGGGATTCCGGCAAACTAACACCCATGTGACTTCTTGCCCCAGCTGCAACAGAGGAGAAAAGATCAAACTAGTCAACATATTGCTCCCACTGACAGAAACTTCAGTCCGAGACAGGCACACTCACTTTGCTAATCCATGCCCCTTTCCTTCCATGAGGCATCGTGCCTTCCAGCTCAGCATTATTAAGGTCTCCAACACCTTAACAGAGCAACATATGGGCTATATTTTACACATTGCTGACAAAGGTAGAAATTGAGTCTCTAGCCAAATGCATCTAAGCAGGCCTAAAATTGAGAACTAGAGGAGGTAAGAAAACAAGCAGTTGGAAGCAGTTTAGGAATCTCAATGCAAGAGATAATTCCGTGCATGCCTGTACGGAAGGTGGCATTACCTGTAAGCACTGTAACCATGTCTGTCCATGTAGCTACAGCAAAATCTGACCCTAAGTCCTCAGTCAGGGTAATTCTTAATTCCTTACTGAAGAAACTGCATGAGACAGAGCTAGAACTAAACATAGTGCAGGGCCCACACAACACAGAACATTCTCTGATCTGTCCATTTTTTCAAGAAATTATGAACTTGCAAGGCTTGCTGAGGGGGCAATTTAATTTCAGTTGCACCACCACTCATAGGCTACCAGAGCCCTTCACACTTTACACATAAGAAACCTACTAAAGTCACTAATCTACCCAATTTCAGAGCCTAACGACCACATATAAAGAGTTGGGACACTTTTTCCCCATACATGTAAGAAGAATCAACAAGTCATATTTTATTCATTCACCATTTGTGCTACTGACCCCCATTCAGTTCCTCGAAATGGAAGTGATTTTATTTCTGACCTGCATGGATTTCCCCTAGAAACAAATACCCACACCACTGCACAAGAGAGCTTGGCATCTACGCAGAGACCAGTGAAGCCAGAAATGGCTATCATGATGTGTGACAGTCCACACACTGAAGGAACCCTCAGTGGGAACCCCTGCTAGCTAGTGTTTAACCACTTCAATATCGGGCACTTTTACCCCCTTCCTGCCCAGGCCAATTTTCAGATTTCAGCGCTATCACACTTTGAATGACAATTGCGTGGTCATGAAACACTGTACCCAAACTAACATTTTATCATTTTCTTCACACAACTTGAGCTTTCTTTTGGTGGTATTTATTCACCACTGGGGTTTTTATTTTTTGCTAAATCAACAAAAAAAGACCGACATTTTTAAAAAAAATACCCACGTTTTTCTTTGTTTCTGTTATAACAGTTTGCAAATAAATAATGGTTCTTCATAGAATCCAAGATGTATTCTGCTACATTTCTTTGGTGAAAATAACCCACAGAGTATTATTTAGTCTGTAGGAAGGTTAAAGAGTTCACAAACTATGGGATAGATCTGAAAATTGATCAATCCTGACATAATGACATCTAATTTCTTAAAGCCCAAATGTCAAAACAGTACAAATATCCCCCAAATGACCCCTTTTTGCAAAGTAGACAGTCTGACGTATTTCATAAGAGGTATGGCGAGTTTTTTTTTAAGTTGTAATTTTTTTGTCATAATTTTTCAGAAAATGAAATAAAAAAAAATTATTTTCACAAATTTTTTTTTTACATACTGTCACCAGTGCAGTACAGAGTCAGCATATAACTGGTGTGGCGGTGATCAGGGACACTGATTGGTGACAATATGAAAAAAAAAAAAGATAATTTTTTTTTTTAATTTCTTATAAACTTTTTTCTTTTTTTAAATTGCGCTATGACCAAAGTAGTAACATTGTACTACTTTGGGGAAGTGATAAGCTTTCATTTTTTTTTTTTTTTTTTACACAATTTGCTTGCTTATAGCAAAGAACTTCTTTGCTATAAGCAAGCATTTAACTGAATGAAATCGATTCATTCAGGGTTTTTTTTGTTGTGGTTAGCTGTGATTGGCCACAGCTAATCACATGACACAGATGGGCTGTGATTGGTCCAGCCTGTGCATGTGATCGCTGTGACCATTCACAGCTAGACACACTTGTATACAGTGGATGGCGTGAAAGGAAGCCATCCATTGTATACAACTGTCATGTGACCTGCTGTGATTGGTCACAGCAGGTCACATGGTACTGGGAACAGGGCTGGTACACAGATCTGTCTTCCGCCATGTACACGGCTGGTGACAGATCTAGCCACAGCGCGACCCTGCGGGCACGCGCATTGTGCAATCCGGGAAGGACATCATATGATACCCTCCCTGAGGGACGAAGTATTCGCCCAGCTGTCATTTGACCATAGGCCGGGCGGCAAGTGCTTAACACCCGGCCACAGGTCCAATATTTCTCATGTATCATGCTAACTAAAAGGAAAATACATCTGGCAGTCTGCCAGCTTTTACATGCTTGCAGATCTTGGGATTATATGAATGACACACTTGTGTAAAAGATCTCAGTGTCTCAGTCAAGCATATTTCTGGATAGTTGCAACAACTGTCATACTTGCTGTCCTTTTTTCTTTTTATATGAAATATTTATTACAGGTACTTCTATACCACCATCAATTTACGCAGCACTTTATTTATATATACACATACACACACACATATACACGCACACACACACAGGTGAAACTCGAAAAATTACAATATCGTGCAAAAGTTCATTTATTTCAGTAATGCAACTTAAAATGAGAAACTAATATATGAGATAGACTCATTACATGCAAAGCAAGATAGTTCAAGCCGTGATTTGTCATAATTGTGATGATTATGGCTTACAGCTCATGAAAACCCCAAATCCACAATCTCAGAAAATTAGATTACATGCAATCAATAAAACAAGGATTGTACATAGAACAATATCAGACCTCTGAAAAGTATAACCAGGCATATGTACTCGGTACTTGGTTTGGGCCCCTTTTGCAGCAATTACTGCCTCAATGCGGCGTGGCATGGAAGCTATCAGCCTGTGGCACTGCTGAGGTGTTATGGAAGACCAGGATGCTTCAAAAGCGGCCTTCAGCTCTTCACAGTACAGTAATCCCCCGTTCATTGAACCAGGTTTTCTTGTTTTTGGCAGTGTGGGCAGGTGCCAAGCCCTGCTGGAAAATTACGTCAGCATCCCCATAAAGCTCGTCTGCGGAAGGAAGCATGAAGTGCTCCAAAATCTCCTGGTAGACGGCTGTGTTGACCCTGGACTTAATGAAGCACAGTGGAGCAACACCAGCAGATGACATGGCTCCCCAAATCAACACAGACTGGAAACTTCACACTGGACTTCAAGCATCTTGCAGTGTGTGCCTCTCCATTCTTCCTCCATACTCTGGGTCCTTGGGTTCCAAATGATCCCCTCATGTTTTGCATTGTATTGTTGTTGTTCTGTCACATGTTCTGTCCCCCTTTGTAATACACAGCGCTGAGCGAACTATTGTCGCTTTATAAATACTGTATAATAATAATAATAAAATAAAGTTGCTCTCATCAGAAAAGAGGACTTTGGACCACTGAGCAACAGACCAGGTCTGTCATCCCTGCTGCTTGTGCACCTTTTTCTTCCACACTTTTCCCTTCCACATAACTTTATATTAATGTGCTTTGATACAGCACTTTGGGAGCATCCAACTTCTTTTGCAATTACCTTTTGAGGCTTTCCCTTCTTATGGAGGGTGTCAGTGATGGTTTTCTGCACAAATGTCAAGTCAGCAGTCTTTCCCATGATTGTGATTCCTACTGAACCAGACTAAGAGACCATTTAAAGGCTCAGGAACCCTTTGAAGGTGTTATGGCTTAATTAGCTGATTAGAGTGGGACACTTTGAGCCTAGAATATTGCACCTTTTCACAATATTCTCATTTTCTGAGATTGTGGATCTGGGGTTTTCATGAGGTGTAAGCCATAATCATCACAATTATGACAAATCACGGCTTGAACTATCTTGCTTTGCATGTAATGAGTCTATCTCATATATTAGTTTCACCTTTTAAGTTGCAATACTGAAATAAATTTACTTTTGCACAATATTCTGAGTGTGAGTGTGTGAGTGTGTGTGAGTGTGTGTGTTACATTCACATCAGTCCCTAATACATACACA